CACACACACACACACACACACACACACACACACCGCTGGCAGCTTGGGTTAGCCGCTTCAGAAACTTTCCAGCGAGGACTTCTAAAACTATTCTGGAGGTGCTCCATTCTGACCAGCTAAGGCTGGGGAGTAAACCTGGGTCAGCGCGCAGGCAAGCAAGGGGGTGGGCGCGGAGGCGGTGGTGGCCTGCATAGGGTTGGGGGGAGGCCTTGGGCCCAGGAACTTGGGGGCTGGAAAACTGGCCGACCCAAGGAGGGACAGCTGTCGCTTACATTTTCTCTTTCGGCAGTGACAGTTCAATTTCCATGCTCCGGAGGCTAATAATAACGCGATTAGCGGGTGACCTGCAGAGACAGAGTTTTATGAATTCTCCGTGTTCTTGTGGCCCGTTATGGTATTTGGGTTTAGTGTTGGGGAATTATTTTTATTAGTCGATGAAAAGAAAATTAAAAGGAGATTTATTTCATCCGCTCAAGTTTTCCCCTGTATTTGGGTGCGGTGCCTTCCACGCGGACCACTGTGTGGGCAAAGCAGAAAGGAACGCGTGGCTAATGTGTTTCCCACCTCTGGCCAGACCCTACTTCCTCACCGTATTTATTTGTTGTCAAAATATCGCTTGGGCCTTCACACAGTTTAGTGCAGGTTCTTTCAGGCCTTATGACAACTGACGATTTCGGGGTGGGGGTGGGTTTATTTTACTTTCTCTATGGTGGAAAAAAAGCAACTTATTTAATATACTAGTGGCATTTAAAATATGCCCGTCCCCGGGTACTTTTCTCTAGGGAGCCGGCCTAGGGTTGCATGTTCAAAAAGGACCAACATTTGGGGACATAATCAGAGACTCAGTTCTAAGTTGTTTTTCTGCGGGTCTTCCCAGCCATTAGCCAGGGGAGAACAGTGAGGGCTGGGGCAAGGAGAGACCAGCCCAGGGGCAGAAGGCGAGGACCTGGCATCCGGAATGCCGTCCCCTCTCTCCAGCTGGATGGGAGTAGGTGGTGAGGACCTAACACCGAACTTTACATAACAGAGTTCAGTGGACGCTTTCTCATTACCCGATCACTTATTTTTAAAAAACAGTATGGACCTTTGGTTTGGAGAAAAGGAAGCGCGTCTGTGGGGCAAAGGTCCGGGTGTAGGAAGCAGCCGGAAATAGCCCTCGCGGGCCTCTGCGGAGCCGGGCTCCCGGCGGGCCTGGCCACGTCGTGGGCTGAGGGCACTCCTGCAGTGGCCAAGGTTTTCGTAGGAGCCGGACGCAGGATGAGAAAAGATCTCTCGGGAAAGGCGCCGTGGCGCGGAGACTCGGCAGCCCCGGGAGCGGAGGCCGAGCTGCGCGCGGGCTCTGACAGCGCGGCGATGGCAGCGGCAGGCAGGCCCAGGGCTTGGGGTCCCTCGTAGATCTTTCTTTCTTTTTGTTTCTAATTCAGCGTCCTAACAAACGCACACAGGGCCACCTTCAAAAGTGTGTGTATGGTAGTGGAGGTGGGAGATGGGGCCCTGGCGGCTCCACTGCGCCCAGGGCCACGTCTCTCCCGCTCGCGTTGGGCCTC